ACATAAAAACCAGCAATAACTGCAGCATTAACCACAATTAAACAAAATTGGCTCAAATACTTCTCGGATAAAAAGACAAAATAGATAAATCCGAAAAAGTTGATGCTCAACACCGTTTAGCGTAAGAGAAATTACATATCATACAAATACCAATTAGACAGTGTAAACTGTATGTTCCTTTGAACACTCCCACTGATTCAAACGCAAGCTTCCAATCAAAATGTTTTTTCATTCTTCTGCATTAAAAGTGAATATAAAAGACAGCTAACAGATGACGGTCCGAACAACAGTGATGCCAAAAACAAGCCCAATCTCTACACAACCAAACTACACTATAACATAAGCTCCTTCCACAAAGTAAATGTAATTATTTTGATGAAAGACAACAGAAGACAACAATGAGGATGACTGTATACAACTATAAATTACTTGTCAGAAAGCAAAAAATAAACTTCAAGAAAGGAACAGAAAAAAAGAAGTGACATATTTTGCGACTTATCGCCTTAGCTCTATCCTACTTCAATAAAATCTCATAGCTGGATAAGTGCAACATTGGAATTGGTTAGTAAAGCGTTGTTATCAAAATGTTAAATTAGAGCTTTTTTTGCAATAATGTTATTGGCAACCAAAATATTAGAGTTATAATCCCTCTTCTTCCTTATCACCTTAACAGAGATCAAAAGTGTTCTATTCAACTAACTCAAAAAAATGAAGTGTGAATTAAAAGCCAACCGTAAGATCTGCACAAATAAATTTTTTGGTCTACAATAAAAAAAGTTGTACTTTGAAAATCTTTTTCGCCTCTCCAAACCTCCATTTAGAGATTACAAAGATATTGCAACAAAAACTGTGCAAACTGCTTCACACCACACAGTAAACTTTCTATTTCAAAAACGCAAGAACCGATAGACTCATACAGAAAAGAAAACACAGTTTTCGACTATTTGTCAAAGTCCTAAAACTCAAAGAAATTCGTAACTAAAGAACAGAATTCAAACATACTGCC